AAAAGACATAAATTCAAACTGTGCATCACAGTTAGGAAGATATGATCTAAGTGACTTTAAACACAGCATGGTTGTTGATGTCAGATAGACTGGTCTTAATATTTCACAAACTGCTTGTCTGTTTACAGAGAAGGATCCAAAAAGAGAGAAAACATCCAGTAAGTGGCAGTTCTCTGGATGAAAATGCCCTGTTGATGTCAGAGAATGTGCAGAATGCTTTGAGCTGATAGGATGGCAACAGTAATTCAGTTAACCACAGAAGCAGATGGGCTACAGGAGCAGATCACACCAGGTGCCACTCCTGTCAGCTTAGAACAGGAAACGGAGACTGAAATTCTATTGTACACCAAAACGGGACAATATCCATCCATTCGTCCATTTTCAACTGCTTATCCAGATCACGGGTGCAGCAGTCTCTAACGTGAAGCCTAAATGTCCCTCTAACCAACTGCCTCATCCAGCTCTTCAGTAGGGGACACCGAGGCGTTTCCTGGGTATTCCTCTGGGCCTTATCCTGGTGGGACATCAGTCAGAACGCCTGGACAATAGAAGATTAGAAAAACTCAATCTCTGCTGCCACATTCAGAGGATAGGGTCACAGCAAAGTGTGAATGAAGTGTCCCTTTGGTTAGTGTATGTATATGGACAATGAAATGATCCCCCCACCTCCGCTTCCAGTATTAACACTGAAAACACATGCAAATGAACCACTCAGGAAACCCACATGTACAGGTTTTGTTTTTAATGAGAAAATATTCATAATATGTATAGTGGGTGTGTAACTGTGAGCCTTACATGTGCTATAAAATAACAAAGCAGAGTATGAGCATACAAGTGGTTAACATAGGAACAGGGGTTATACTGTGTTTATATTGTAGTAATAAGATTGCTTTATCACACACACAGACAGTGAGTTCCACACTGGAGAAGCTCTGTAGGCCGAAAACAAGCTACCAGCATTTAAAATGATAAATAAAATCATCTCTGCACCATAAATTCAAACATCAAAATCATAATAATAATAATAATTATAATAATAATAATAGATCACACCATTCATTAATTCCTCTGTGTGTACGTTTCATAAGCGACTCTAATGAGAACTTTGATTGGTTCCCACAAGGATGAAAACCTTTTCCGTCCTGTTGTCTTTTAGCCTTTAAGTCAAAAATAATCTCATACCAGCGTTAAAGACACTTCACCTCTGCTGCACCACAGAAGACCCTGAAAGGAGAACTTGGATGATTCTCTGGAACATATGTGTGGGTTTTAATATTATTTGTTCTGGGTTTGGTGGAAGTGGACACCGCAGAGGAATGAGTCCTTGATTTTCACTTTTGGTTTATGGCGTTTGTGCCACGCTTTCTTGACAAAGCATATCACAAGACAGCCGAGTGGAATAAGTTGCAAAGGGTGGCTTGACTTGATAGGTTAGTAGATGTCCAGCAATTACATCTGTGGTTTAGCTCAGCGTACATTCAGTGTGTTTGGAAGCAAAGAGAGAAGTTGCTGCCTTGCTGAAGGGCACTTGGACAGGTCAAAACTGTGACTTTTGGTTTACAAAAACGATTTTGTTTCTCCTCACATCTGGACGCAGAAACGAATCTCAAAGGCTACGACAGAGGAATACAATCAAAAGTTGTCCAGAAATACCGTTTCCACAGCCGGTTTGACACATTTCTACTTTTCATTTTAAATTAAAGACAGTCTGTTATACTCCAGGGAGAAGTGTGGTTGTGTTAAAGTGTATTTACTGTTTTACTCTTGAAGCTGAATCCTGTTTTTCCTCGTCACTTTGTATGATTTCAACACTTCAAAACACAAAATCAATGTCATTCTGCAAAATTCAGTCACAATACAGTTAGTAAAAAAACAAAAAAACCCTTACAAGCCCAACTTACAGCACAGCTCAGCGTCTCGAAAGACCTTTATTGCCTTCTTTTTGCCACTGCACTTTTTTTTCAGCTGTGCTTGTTTCAGGTTAGGAAAGGAGTGT